ATAGAATAGAATAGAATAGAATATGCTCTCAGTGTAAATAAAGAAAAATAAAATAGAATACATTCATGAAGAATCAGAAGCTACAACACTTAGTGATAGTCTCTCTCTCTCTCTCTCTCACACACACACACTCCTCTGGATTCACTGGGCCGTTTATAAATTCCCCCTCCTGTGCACACCTTCAGCCTCTCTCTCTCTCTCTCTTTCTCACTCACACACACACACATACACACACACTCCTCTGGATTCACTGGGCCGTTTATAAATTCCCCCTCCTGTGCACACCTTCAGCCTCTCTCTCTCTCTCTCTTTCTCACTCACACACACACACATACACACACACTCCTCTGGATTCACTGGGCCATTTATAAATTCCCCCTCCTGTGCAAACAGCCTCTTTCTCCCCTCTTTCTGGTTTCACTCTGAAGTTTTTAAAATTACCTCTTCTGTATAGAGACCAGGTTATCAGCCATGTGAGACATACACTGTGTTTCTATGGCACAGTAATCCCCTCCCCAAACAACTCGCAATGCCAATTTAGAAGCCCCGAGCAGCCGAGGCGAAGCAGCAGTCCAGGGGGAGGGGGAGGGGCTGAGCTTGGACAGCCTCGGAGGCAGCCTGCCAACTCCAAGAGAGAGTGAAAGAGAAGGGAGAGGGAGGGGCTGCTCAAAGCAACAGAAGAAGAAGAAATCCGTGAGGGAAGCCCGCGGTCTCCACATAGAGTAAAGTCTTCTCCCTCAGGCATTGGCAACAGCTCCCTAGGACGCGCGGGTGGGAATGCACTCGGCTAGAAGAATATACGCTCCCAGTTGCTAGGAGAGCCTCAAGGCAGCTGGAGGCTTTTTCGTAACTTAAAAAAAATCGGGACTTTTTTTTAAAAAAAACCGGGACGCGGGACAAATTGTTCAAAAGAGGGACTGTCCTGCTGAAATCGGGATGTCTGGTCACCTTACGTGACATGGTGGAATGGATCCAGAGTTCTAAGCATGGCATAGCAAGTTGTTCTCAACATTTTCTTTCTAGCACTGAAGCCATAAATCCACACTGAGCCTCCAAACAATGTATAGCTGATGATGTTAGACAACAGACCAGAGATGGGTTGCTGGGGGTTCGCAGCGGGTCGTGAGAACCTCTAGCTAAGACTCTGTGCAGTTCAGAGAACCCCCAAATCCCACTCCTGGCTGGCCCTGCCCTCACATCACATGAGTCCCCATGTGGCCTGTTTTGGATGCAGGTAAGTGCAGGGCACACATGGGAGCTCAGGGAGAGCCAAAAATGGGCCTACCAGAAGTTTGGGAAGCCCATTTCCAGCCTCCAGAGGGCCTCTGGAGCCTGGGGAGGCCTTTTTGCCTTCCTGGAGGCTCAAGAAAAACCTCCAGAATCTGGGGAGGGCACAAATGTGCCCCCCACACCGTGGTGCAGGTAAACCAGGCCACGCCCACCATGGCCACATCCACCCAGCAACCGGGCAGAGAACCCTTAGCTAAAATCTTTGAAGCCCATTCCTGCATCACACTGCACTTTCATGGACCTGCTTGTTGACAAGCCTCTCAGAACTGTAGAGCTCACTTCTCTGTTGAATCTTTATCACACACCTCTGCTTAGGATAACTAACTTCAGAATCTGAGAAGGTAATATTGGGTGCAAGCAGGGAGTCCTGGTTTCAGCTGGAGCAGAGTCCTTGGCTGCAATACTGCTGGAATAATCCCTGCCAAGCCTGTTCTCACTGCCTGATTCAAGGTCCATTTCCTCTCTCTCCTCCTCATCTGATGACATGTCTAACAATAAAAGCTAGACTTTAAAATATAACATTATCTTTATGTCTGTATGTTTACATGTATCCATAAAAATATTAAGAGCTAGACTGTATCACAACAGTACTAAGCTAAGTTTAATACATCTTGACCTTCCCCTGGAGTGGGGTGGGAATGAAGATTTTACAGTATCCTTCCCCTTCCATGCTCACTATGCCACGCCCACAGAACCGGTAGTAAAATTTTTGAATCCCACCACTGTGAGGGAGGATGTTGGAAAACCAATGTGAGAGTTCTTTCTGCAAATAGACCAGCAGAAAGCTGACATATTTTAACATTATCTCTGAAGATTGTGAATCACATTTAGTTAATATTCTGAAAATGCAGTTAGGCACTCCAACTTTCCTAGGCAAAACGTTGGTGAAGAAATGATGCCAAATCTGATGTAGGACTTTGCCACTGCCAGCTTTTCTGAAGAGACTCTATTCTGCTCCTTCATTCCAATGACATCAACAATGTCAATATGTATGTCATGTTTACATCTCTTTCCCACAACCACTGGATATTTAGCATCACTAAATAGCTTTCCATTAATTGCCAGTGCTTATTTCCCTCTTTTCAGTTCATTGCTTATTTACTCATCACACACTGAACTATAAATTAGTCAATTTAGGATGCTGGACAAACTCACCCTAAACAGCTTCTTTATGTTTCAATGTATTATGCAAACTAATGAGCAAATCATGGTTAGATTTCCATGAGCAAGTATCTCACACAAATGCAGTCTTTGTGTGGGTCAGTCATATAGTCAGTTTCACTTTGCATTTGGAATCCCTGAAGAAAATCAAAACAAGAAAGCGCTCTATTATTCACAATGTATGTATCTAAAAAGTCAATTATGTTTGTGTGTGTCAAAAAAAGAGAAGATAAAAGCAATATCACGATGCATGTCTTGTTCCTTTTGTACAGACAAAAGGGGTAGGGCTTCCATTGTAACATTTCTTTCATCACCTACCCCTTTGAAACAACTCCACAGGTGTCAACTCCAAGTCAAACTCAATTCCCAATTATATGTCTTTATGTCCAGTTGTTTTCTTGACAACACAGTAGAAGTGATTTGTCATTTGCCTTTGTCCTGGATTTTTCGATTTCTCAAGTCTAGTCTGCCCCCTCTATTTGCTGGCTTCCCATGTAAAGATTTATCTAGAAAAGAAGCAGAATGAATTTGACATAGCAAATCTATGTTTCTCTGAATATGAAGAAGAAAATCAAAGTTTGTGCAGTCTATTTTAGTCGGTCTTCACTCTACTGATATAAGCTAATTAACCATTGTTTCAGGAAAAAAAAGAGTAATAGAATGCAATTCAGAGGACTCCGTCTGGTGGATGAAGAAGAATCAATCAAAGAATTTCTGGCTGTCTACAGGTTAAGCTGAACCATCCATTCACTGCCATTGTCAGTTTTTAGGCTGCTTATTCACATATAAAGGAAAGAGAGGCATGTCTCTGCTTTTATTCTCAAGCAAAGCAATTTCTTTCCGAAATTCTTAAATCCAGGGAAATAGATACTAGAAAACCTTTAGTTATAATGAGTGCATATCACACCATATGCATCACATGTCTGCTGATATACTAAGACTACATTAAAGCAACATTTTTTTAAAAAACCTCCCACAATAAAAAATGAACTGTTTTTTTAAAAATAACATATTTGTTTGGTCATACCCAGGGAAAGTGCTTAGAATCTTTTATCTTCGTTATTCACTCACACACCCACCCCAAAGAAACACTGTTTTTAAAAAGTCCACTTAAAAACCCCCATATACCACACCTCCCTAAATTGCAAGCATGCTGGCTGAAGAATTCTGAAAGTTAAAGAGTCCACGAAGTTGCTGAGGTTGAGGAAAAACTCCCTTAGAGAACAAGACTGGACAATGGCAAAACAATGGAAGGCAAAGATATTGCTACAAAGAAAATTACATGAATGTTTCCAT